TTCTATAATATAGATAACTGTTAGTTTACTGATATATTACCCGATATGTATATCAGTTAACTAATAGGACTATATAGGTACATTCTATTATTTTACCATTATTCATGTATTTGACCTGTGAGTGTTTTATAATAATATAATAAAAAATAAATATATGAAGTCAGAAATCTTATCATCTAGAATTATAAACAAAATTTTTTGCATGACTATCAGAAAAGAAGTAAATTGCAGGAAGGTAATAGTAAGATCCTAGGTCTGCCTTAAAAGGTGATAACCACACTTAAGAAGACTATCTTAATAAAGAATGACTAAATTGTGTATTTTCACAGAACAAACTAAATTACCTTTATTAAAGCACAGAACTATTATAGTTCCATTGTGTTCCACAAACCCATATTAATAACTCTAGTGACTGTCTTATTAACATGAAAGTAATCTAATACAAGGTGGAATATTAGCTTATGAATTATCAAAAAATAGCTTAAAAATTAAAAATTAGATCTATTTTATAAGTATGTGACTAAAATAATTATATAAATAATAGGTTATCTAATAATTAATTGCATTTGACACCATAAAATCTGAGATGAAATTGCTATATTTGTCTCTATAATGATTTTATTCAGAACTACAAATTTAGAATAAGCAGTCATAAAGTGGCTATAAATTGAGTTGCATAAATTTGAGGCTGTTGACTGTAAACAAACATTTTTTATTGTGATACATACAGTAATACGATTTACTTGCATTATGTGCATTGTGGATATCATCTTGTTATGACTATGTTTAGAAAAAGGATAATTAGTAAACATACTGCATTAGCAATTTGTGAATCAGTACTTACAAAGAAAAAGCTATAAATATTTATGCAACATTTTGTTGTAGCTTAATTTATTTTTATCGAACACTTAGTTTGAGTCATAAGCAAGAAAAGTAATAAATAATTAAAGATAAGCTTTATATATAGTAAAAAGCTTAGTTATTCCAGACTATTACATTAGTTCTGGGTAGTAAACTAATTAATTTAACTCAGGTCTTGTTATCGATCACAAGTCATGAGATATTTGGAAAATAGATCATGCAGAGTTTATTTATTTATTAGGAAGATTTAATTAGAGGTTACTTATGCTAATCCTACTACATTATCATGACAGTATAGCTTTTTTATTAGAAAATTACTGTGACTACTATCTAGGTAAAAATTGGTCAGAATTTTAATAATAAATGAAATAGTAATAATGTCAAAATTAGACATGTGATTTGTAGCATAATTATTTCTCACAGTCAATTTTTGTTCTAATGGTTATAAGCATGAATGAGACTCAAAAATGCTATAAAAGGAAAAAGTACAATATTCTTTATCAGAAAATCATCAACCACCTTATTTTCTAACAATTTAGGCTTTATATAGATAGGTGATATGAGCATTGATTCTTCGATTCCTGGCATATATCCAAATTAGATGTGTAATCAGATGTATTTCTACCTGTTTAGGAGTATTATTAGAATTTATTTCAGAAGAAAGATCACTTTGTACCTGCTCTAGATTTAAAGAGTCAGTGCTATCATTTTTATCAGAGTGACTATTAATATATGATAGAATATGTATTTGTGAAGCATTATTAATAGTCTGATTTTGTTTTATGATTTGTTTTAGTCTTGTATTTTCGATCCAAGATTAGCAATTTCTTGGATGATCTGTTTTAGTTTGGTATTTTTAGTTTCAAGTTTGGTAACTCGTTGTCTCAATAATTCAAGCTCTGATGACATGATTGATTAAAATTTTTATATAAGGCACAGATTTATTCAAAATAAAAAAATCATGTACATGTTCCATTTCAGAACACGAATCACTTTGCCAAGAAAAATTTTTGATCATATGTGAATTAATATACATCAATAACAATACAATAAAATAAATTCATTCAATATACATGCAAAAGTAAATGCAATTATAGATATAAAATCGAGCCAGCTTTATTAATATGATATAAAATAAAATAACAATTATAATGAAAGGGTAGATACATTTGAACTTTACTTTCTAAGTCATTGGGATCTAACATCAGCAGAATAATATAATAATAACATGTTTATAATTATAATATTTCTTAAATTTAAAAGGGTCTCTATAAATCAGAATATGCCTTCACCATCAGTTGGTCTTATAAGAATTTTAACTGAATATAAATTATAAAGATGATGGATATCATCCATGTTTTTAATAATAATTCTCTGATAACCCCAAATTAATTTTTATTAAGCCTGCACCCACTATAAGTCCAATAAAGCCCATCATTCATCTCCTACTATAGTTTTATTTTATCATCATCTTTTTTTCATTTAGGACATATTAACTGGGAATATTCTGCAAATATAAGTTCATATAACTTACTATTATATTCTTTTATGATCATTATATCAGATCATTCACCTTTGTTTTCTCCACCTTTTCTATCTGCACTAGCTTGGTTTTGATGTTCTGTACTAAATTAAAAATAAATTATAAGATTAGAAAAGTATTATAATAGTATATACATACTAAGAAAAAAATCTTATATGCTAAAAAAGGTGGTATTTCTGATTGGAAGTTTTTTTAATGATGTTTGAAGCAAAAGAATGATCATATCTGTTATGTAAGTTCCTTCACTTTGTGTTTTCGCAATATTGACTTCAAATATAGGGTTTCTCCAGATATTGCTTAGAGATTCTAAAATCTTACTAATAATGTTAGCTAATTCTTCACTTGATTCTTTTCAAATATAGTTATGTAGATATTTTGGTAGAAGGATTCCAATCTCATCTTTGTTGATATTGGATAATGCATCTATTTACATATGATTTAATAGCTCTTTGAAACTTTTATAAACATTTCCATCTCCAGACTCTTTAGATAAATTTTGTACAAATTCATCAGTAATCACTTGGCTAGCCAACAGATTTTAATATTTTAGACTATCAAGCTCTACACTATCTAAATATTTATAGATTTCTCTAGCAAATGAGAAGGATTTTTCCTAAAAATAGTTTATAAATACAAAATATATTTATCTTAAAAAGATAATTTTATTAAATATATTGATATTGATTATATATACTTTAAGTTTTCTTTTTAATTTTCTAATATTTTTCTTGATTTGCTCAATTTTTTTTTCTGCTACGATATTACGAAGACTACAAACACCTTCAAAGGCAATGTTAAACTGGTACATAAAAAATATTATTTTATTAGTTATCGATAAAATAATTTAATAAAAATCACAAGCTCATGTCATCAGAGATATATACAAAGTTGCCATCTCTGTATGGCCTACACATTGTAAGCAACTTTGTTTTCTATATATAAGCTTTTAAAACTTGCAAGATGAAAACCAGAGCACCTTCATGTGTTTGTGAAGTTAAATTTAGTGCTAGCAGGCATCAAATACTCAAAGTAACCTTATGTTTTTTAGAGTTGAATCTAAAATATTATGTTGAATAGGAAATCCCACAAGCTAACTCTCACAGACTCAAAAACTTATTACTGATAAAAAGCACCACTCATCATCTGCTATAACAAATATCCTTTTATATTTTATAACTAACCTGTAAAGAAACAGCAAGAACTCTATTTTGTACTCTTATATTATTAGAATATGAATTCTTTGCCAAATTAACAGCATTTGTTACTATATTTCTTAAAATATCATATTGGATCCATGAATCCTCTTCCATAGCTTGATAGATGATGGAAAATGCAGTAATATAAGTACCCTAGCCATGGCGAAAACGAAGTATCGGGTCATGTGATTCTAACACTTTAAATGATTACTCACTGATCAAAATCCAGGATCTGGTATAACATGAAATTTTATGAAAACAATAAAGTTTTTTCAAAAATTGCAAATAGCTTAAAATTTTGCTTATTAAATCAGCTTCTGCGCTCTAATTAAAAAAAATTCTTGCAAAATTTTACTATATGATATAATTCCCTAACCCTAAATATATGGTTTTTTCCTGTTGTCTTCGATTGTTTTGATTTTTAGATATCAGACTGAAGCTTCAGAAATCACATGACCCGACACCTCATTTTCGCCATAGCTAGGGTACTACAGTAATATGATTTAATAATAAGATGGTAAGATGATTAGTATTTGTAAGCCAGTTACCAAACAAGTTTTTTAAATATAATTTTATAATAAAGAAACAACTTGTTGTTTTTGAGTTTTATCTAACTAGTATAACAGATTACTTATAAGTACTTATAAAAGTAACTGTAAAAAAAATATTATATTAGAACTAATATTTATGTATAAAAATATATAACCTAATAAATAATACAATGATTTGAGTTTTTAATATGAATAAAAAATAAATAAATATCAAAAATATATACTACGTATATATAATTAGTATATATTTTACAATATAAGAATAAAAATAAAATTTTAATTATAAAAAAAAATAATTTAGATAATCATTAAATTATATTTATAGGAATGGGGTCCCGTAGCCTAGTGGTCTAGGCACCCTCCCTCCACAGACAAGGTCGACGGTTCAATTCCAGCTGGAGGCAAAACTCTGTAATCTACGGAAGCATAGGAATGTACACAAAGCCCTGTGGCTTAAGTTCATGTGAATAGAAGATCAGTATATAAGGAAGTTCCCGGAAAAAAGTTTCCCGATATAGAGAGTTGGTGCTCGATGCGAGAGAAGCAGTGAACATACCAGAAATGGAGAGAAGGTGCACTAGCGAGTGATACGGT